TACAAGAGAAGAACCCTTTTTGGTGCTACATAGAACACTTTTCAATTAGGTTCTGAACAGAACCGTCTACAGAACATTCTTCATCAGTCGGGAGAACCCTTTCACTTTAATCATGCAAAAGGTTCTTTAAATGTTCATGGTTCTATATAGAACCATTTTCTTTATTAAAGAACCCGTGAAGAACCATCATTTTTAAGTATGTAGAATAACCTAGTTCCAACAAATTTAGTCCCATGGTATAGCAAAGTGTGATTCTTCTGTCACTTCCTAATTATGTTGGTAGTTAATCTAAGTGTAAGGCCTTCAGTGCAGCTCCTGAAGTCCAGACCAATGGGAGAGCAGCTTGGCTGTATCTACCCAGACACCACAGAGAAAGCACTCTGATTGGATAATTCTGCATTTGGTGTTTTAGGATTTTAAACCTTTAATTTAAAACCAAAATAAATAAATGAACTAAAATTTTTTATTGAACTTTGGATTATTTTGTTGCTAGAAATCATCAGGTCTTCTCAGAAGGCCTAGGAGGCCCTGAGGGCTCCTCACTGGTGGGGATTAAGGCTTAATTAAGGGCGTTAAACCCCCCAAACCTTCAGTAAGTAATGCTATGGATCAAAGTTTTGTCAACTTGAACATGTCACTGCAAAGTAACGGAGTATTTCAGATCTGTAACTATCGAAAGCCAAACGTCCTGCAGTATAATCTGCAGTGCTTTCTGTTTATGCATGTATAACAATGCTGTGTTTGGTAACGAGAGTTCAGAGGGCTCCACTTTGGGCAGCCGTTTCATTCTGATGTGTGGAGCTTCGCCTCTGGGAGTCGGTGCAACTGAAGATCTTCTGGGAGTTATTCTTATAAAGTATGTGGAGGAGTTGGTGGTGTCTGATGATGAGAAACAATGCCAAAACCTCACATCCATTATCCCCACAAAACCCACCCACTGTCCCTCTCCCTGCAGTCAGTGAACTCGTTCTCCAGCATCCCTCCTTTTCAGCACTCAGAGAGAGGAAAAAAGAGACGGCAGGGCAATTACACAGCTGGAACTGCTCATGTTTCTATTTCTGGTGCATTATAGTGGCTCTACAGAAGAAATGCAGATCTTTGTTCAGCAGGCAGGGTGGGCAGGATAGGGATACATTCTTCACACTCTTTCCCTTCATTCAGATTCAGATGGATGGATGGATGGATGGATGGATGGATAGATAGATAGATAGATAGATCATTGATCCCAAAGGAAATTCATCAGCCAGTATGAGTCACACAATAATAAGGGTGATACAATATAAAAAGAACAATATACACAAAAAACCTGTCTACAGGCATACATGGGTCATTCTACATTCCACTCTTCTGTCTCTCCATAGGAGTCACTGGTGTTACTGATCCTCATTGGTGTCACACATAATAAAGGAACACCAGAGACATTTTAATGAACAGTGCATTTTACCAAACGGCTGCTACAGAGCATCAAACCACATGTTGTCAATCATGGAATATCCACTAAAATATGGAATTTAATCTATTTGTGTTCTGTTTTTTCATAATTACCTCAGAATAAAGTCGGTCACACCAGTGACTTCAGCTAAAAGCTTCATATGAAATCATGAGCTGAATGAGAAAATCTCTGATAACTGAAAGACACAGTGGACTCACCATGAGCTTTTCTTCATAGATCCTCAGAAAACAGGTAAAAGGAAGTCGAGTGATGTCATCAGTGTGACTTTTATTTAAAATAAGAGATTTTTTGTTACGCAGTAACACCAGTGACACGACTCCTGGGGAACTTCCATTATATATTTTATAACATTTATTTGGCATTTGTTTTCTTTATTTCATTTAATTTATATATTCTATAGTCGTGTAGAGATTATTGTACTTAAAATTGCAGAAAAACATGTTTTTTCTTCAAAATATGTCCTCAGCCTTCACACATGACCATCCTGAGATAAAGGCAGTGCAGTAATAACTGTACAAGGAGGCGCAAGTAACAGCATATAATGACAATACTGAATATATATGTGCATATATTGGTACTGAAATGAAGTGTCCAGGTGTGGAGTGTCCAAATGTGCCAGATGTGCGATAAGGTTTGCAGAAGTGCAGTATGTACAGTAAGGTGTCCATATGTGCAGATAGATAAAATAAACCTATGATTTAGCATAAGAGATTCAGTCTCTCTCTCCTCTCAGTCCTAATCTGTCCTCTAATATATCCCCTTAATCTAATCCCCTCAGGGATCTTCCTGAAAAATGCCAGAAGCGTCTTTAGATCGCACCATTTTAAAAAATTTGGTCATTGTTCAATGTGTGTCAGTAAATTTCTCTGAAACCGAGCACGTCAAACCACTCTGGAAGACTTGTTTAGACCTTAAACATTTAATTATGCAGAAAATGAGGCCGAGATCAGAAAACGACAAACTTGAGTTGACTTTAAAGGGTATAATCAGGGGTTCAGATGCAGTGAGGCTTCACAAAGAGACCACATCAGATGCTGTAGCTGATGTGGAAGTGAGGCACTCTGACAGAAACCTAAAGTTGAGGCCAGATTATCTGTAGGTGGAGTCCAGCTGGGTCGGTCGGGGGGTAAATTCTCTCACTGCCTGTTTTTTATAATAAGAGCATTGTTAGAGGAACGTGGTCGTGGTTGAGGGGTGTGACTCCTGAGAAAAGCTCAAGGAACAGACTGAGTACTGTACATACATGTACAGACAGCTGTAGGAGAGGTTTTGTGTGCCTTGCTCAGTTCCACGTTGTGTTGAAGGTCTAAGTGTAAATAAGCTCACACATCCTCTACACTGTTAGAAATAAAGGTTCTGTTCAGGTACGTTCTTCGTTCATCAAGGTACAAACAGTGTAAATGTTCCCTCAAAGCTCCAACAGTGGTTTTAAGGTCTGATTGTGAACCTTAAATAAGTTTTTCCAGGTGAAAAGTTCGTATTTGTACCTTTTCATTCGTACCTTTTTCTCAGTGACAGTTTAGAACCCTTTTTTCCGAGAGTGTACAGAGAACAGTTTTTTGCACATTTTAATGCAGAGCTACTGTTTATTTGCTTGATTTAACATGCTGGACACGTGTACAAAGGTTAAAATGTGGCATGTTTAAAGGTTATGGCACGTTATATGTTATGTTTTATTTTTGTTCAATATAATAAACAAATAAATGGAAATTGTGCATTAAATTGCATTAAATCTTTTGCATAGGACTGTAGGCATTTACTATCAAAACCACTTAATAAAAATTCTATACGACTGGGGTAGAAATCCATTTTTTCAGTATAAAAGATGGCTGTTCAGTCTGTAGTACTAAAACTATGATTTGTTTCACCAAATGATTTGGAAGAACTGCTTTTAGTTCCCTAAAGGATGATGTTTAAATTAAAGCTGCACTGTGTAAGATTTGGGGATTTGGTGGCCTCTCTGGTGGAAATGTGTAACTGCATGCAAAACATTCTTCAAGTGGATGAATCTGACGATGGAAATAGAATTCAGAGAGAACTCAGTGTAAACTTGGTGAAGGAGAATATTCTGAGTGGCTTCTGAGGATGTAAGTGAATTATCTACTACTGTCGTCACATCTTCATCAGTGTGATGTTGATTTTGAGATAATCTGAGGCCGAAACATCGAGCCGGACCTTCTTTTAGAGTCTGAGTGATGTTAATACGTAAAGACGATACGACGTGGTGTGAAAAACTCGACGCCTCTGAGTTTTTAAATGATTATTTCAGGCTTTACAGGCGACTCTCAGCAGAACACACTCAGCATGTTTTAGCCTGTTTATCTTCTCCTCACTCAGTAACGACACTTATTTCAGCCTTAACAACAAAAAATTACATAGTGCAGCTTTAATGATTACATGAATTAGCCAATGATGAAAAATCATTCTCAGTTACTCACTGAGAGTCGACAGAGGAGAATCAGCCAGGAGAGGAGACTACAGGACATTTTACTCAATCAAAAGTGTGAAAACCTGAACGAAAGTGAAGAAGTATCAGCACTTAAACTTACTCAAGTGCATAAAAGCAAGACGTACAGGTAAACAAATAAATTAAAGGTGTTTGTTGTTTGTTTTGTTGGTGATGTCATGCAGTGGTTAATCACAGTTGTGGCTGATTTCAGTCACTGATGTTAATTTTAGTGAAAACAATAAATTAAAATGCACGAAAAAAATCACCTGTCGTTTGTACTTTGTACTTAAAAGGGGAATTCCACCAATGTTTTAAAATTCATGACTTATAGCTGAGCATTATTACAGTATTTACCATTATCATGATAAATTATGCCACAATATGCTTTTCTGGGTGTTTTGTAGATACCCTCAGTATTAAAAACACTTCCCACCCGCTTGTTTGATTTAAAAGAGAGCATAATTAGTCATGTTTAACTGGGTTTAATGCAGCACAGTATGTAAGAATGTTAAACAGAAATCATTGGATTCATAATTCAGACTTTGTGATATTACATTTTTGCCATATCGCCCATTTCTACGATGTCTACAACACAAATATGTTCTTATATATGGAATGTTGATGATGGAAAATAGCAATAAATGTGAACCATTCTGGGGACTATTTTGCCACCTCACACGGTGCATGTATCCCTCCACCATGAATGCATTTTAAGGCCAAAATCTTCTATCATAAAACAATGTCTCACACCGAACTCTAAAGGCTCCCTCATATAAAGTTATTACATGAAACGGTAGTAACTTTCTGTGAGGGAGCTTTTAGAGGTGGACGTCTGGTTCCTATCACCACCACTGTGAACAGTTCTGACTCGGTAAGTTTTTCTAGAACAGAGCGTTTCACACCAAACCACTCTGAACCACTCTGAACCGCTCTGAATGACTTGGCATCTTATTATAAAAAAATCTTCATATATCTTATCCCACCTAATTATGCAGAAATTTTGACAAATTGGTGGAGTTGTCCTGCAAGGAGCAGGTATGTCTTCTTTTTTCTTAGAAATGTAATTGAGTTGAGAATGAAGACCATGAGACACAGATAAAAGCTCGGAAGATGACCTTTATTAATAACGTATAAAAAGGAAAACAGTTTATGCGCCTTTCTCTAGTTGCATCGACACTGCTGTTAATAGGCGATACTAATCTGAAAGACAGTATGACTATGACTTATCATTCTCGTATCACATAATACAGCAAACATGATGTCAAATTTAATGAAAAAGGGGAGGTAAACGAATGAAATCACAAATTAACTGGCAACATGGTTCGCAGTAAACGAGAGAAATCACCTCACTAACTAATTACATTGCACTTTCAGTTAATTACAGTCAATGACACTTTGAACGAGTGCTTGTTTTGTCTGAACGCTGACCGAAGGGTTCGACAGTGTAAATCACATCTGGGGGAAACACAATATAGAACAAAAAAGTGTGAAACAGATCGTAATAACAAAAGAACTGCAAAAAGAGAATGGTAGAAGAGATTTCTTCGGATCGTTACATGCACAGTGTCCTGCTGTTTACAGTGGACACCTTGTCGTATTCAAGTCCCTTACGTGCTCTAGCTGGGGGGATAATAAATTAGATACTGTGAACTGCCCTGCAGTCGTGATGTGTCTGATGATGTTGTTACGAAAGGAAGCGAATATCAAAATACAGTACAGTTGTGGGAATATAGAACATTTTACGATGACAAATGTTGACCCGACTGCATACGTTAAGAGGACTCACTATGGAAAAGAAGCAAAAACAACAACAACAAAGCCGTAATCGGACCGTTCGTGGACTCCGTCTCCACACCTGCAGCTCCTCGGCCGTCCCTCATTGGACGGCGACCAACTTACTTAGGAATTGCGCAACGTACCAAAAGCATCTGAGACATTTTGATAAAATGTGACTTCCGAAAGCGCGCTACCTCTGGACACCTGCGACTTACGATACGTTCTTACATCACCTGTCCGTCTTCTGGACAGGCTAACCTGAGACAACCGGTACAATTCATTTCTGGTGGGACAAACGAGGCCCACCCGAAGCTACGATGAACGCGATCCACTTGCTTATAAGCCTTTTGATAAAACAAAGCCATATAGTCGATTTAAACGGACGGGTTTAAACTGCATTAATAGTACTGTATTCATTGTTTTTAGCGTTAGCGCTAACAGGCAATAAGAAAGAGGGGATCTTTTCATCTACTCTAAAACAAATTTACCCAGTTTTCCAGTTTCCCCCCAACCTTACCTCAAACGTAGTCGATCAGCCAGGACACGTTTGGTGTCCGAAGTTTGCTTCTTTAGCTTTAGCACTGGAGCTACAAGGCTAATGTAGCTAATGAGCAATGGAAGCTTATTAGCATCATGCAAACTCAAGCGAGTCTTGTTTCTTGCTTAGGTGGTTTCTGACTCACTGTTGTCAGTAAAATCTATAAAAATGAGACATTTTATAGCTGTTTTAAACCTATTTAGCTATGCTAACATGCTAATTGGTGGGGGCACAAGCTTCTATCACTTGTTAGCATCATTAGCATCTGAAAGTAAAGAAGCAAAGATGCTAAACGTGCCTACAGGCGGACTACGTTCGAGTAAAGGAGAAAACTACTAATAGAAATGAACTGTCGCTGTAATTGACTCTGCTGGTGTTCAGTAGTTGATATTAACATTCCTTTACTGCAGTTTATGTTTTGATATTGTTACAATAATTTTTATTATCTTTTTTTTTGCTGTCCAGCAACAAACCACATACCGGAGGCTACGACCAAACCCTGACACTGATAAATATCATCGTTTGTGTTATTATTCTATGGTGAGAAGAGCATATTTTGGCTGGATAAATGAACTGCATTGAACTGTGCTGGTGCTCTTGCTGTGGGGTCTCAGGGTCTGGGAGGGGGCCGGGCTGGAGGGGGGCAGGGGGGGCCGGGCGGCGCTCTGGCCGGGGGCGGTCCCGGGGCCGGCTGGGCCTGGGGCGGTCCTTTGGGCGGCGGGCAGTGTGGAGGTGGGCTCACGGGGTTGGGGGCTGGGCGGTAGTCCGGCGGGGGTGGAGGTGGGCCCTGGGCGCTTGGCTGGGCTTTCGCTGCCTCCTCTTTCACTCGTGTGAAGTTGATGCATCGACCCTGAGGAGAGAGAGAAGAGGGAAAGCGTTCACCTCGGCTGACGGTTCTTGTTCTAATAGTTACTGCTATAATATTCAAATGTACAATCACACAAAATTACTCAGACAAAAGAACATCACATCCATGTGTTTCTGTTCAAACAATCAAATCTACATAACATATAACCAGATTACAGTTAAAAAGGAAACAAACAATTAAGACTGATGCCACCATCAGGTGAAATGAAGAACTGCAGTGTACTGGCTGGCAGGCCACTAATAACACACTCTAAAACAGAAGCTATGGGCTGATTAAAACCTGTCCGCGGGCCGCATTTGGCCCTGGGGCTGGACATTGGGTACCCCTCTGGTAAGCACAACATTAGAGTAATTATTAGGCATCTAATAAAACAAATTAATAAAAAAAAAATAATGAAAATAGTACTGGAATATTGCTGCATTTGTGCTCATCGGAAGGTTGAATATTCCCGAAGGTTAACTAGCAAATACAACTTCACTCCACTTGGGTGTTAAAAAGCACACAGATCTAATAGAAGGTAAAAGGATGACAAAGAAAAAGCACTGTTGAAAAAGTCAGTGTTCAAAAATGAAACTTGAACATTTCTTTATAAAAACAAAGCTGTTAACATGGAGACTGTCCCTCTCTTTGGTGCAGCAGCATCAATGCTGTGTTTACATGTTGGTGTTGAACGCAGCCGTGCAAATGATGCCACGGTACAACATGCCAGCGGTATCTTCTAATGCTGCATTTTCTCCATTTATCCATCTCTTCTTAAAGCCTCCTTTAAAGGCTCTTCATATATCATGATCCTCATATGTTTCATATCTAAATGCTCCGTTATCTTCATCACTACTTTCCAAAACCGCTGCAGCAGCTTCAGCAGCTGTAAACTCTCTGCACGCTGTTTCACATGAGTCTCCGATGTGGACTGAATGAAGAATGAAGGGATTCCGGCGTGATGGTCAGTCCGTAGTGATTTCCTGAGTGTCCATCGGTCAGTTTCACACAGAATGTAGACGGACACACCAATCCACCAGTTCCACACGGTGAGAGGCAGATGACGTGTATCTCAGCCCCTCTTCATAGGCTCATAACTCCGGATGTGAGTCTCGTATGATCTCGTGATAAGATGGAATGGAAAGGGCGACTCTACAGATTCAGGAAGTGTTTGAACTGGATTTCTGAGCTGGATCATCACAAAGATACAGACACAGATATAGAGACAGAGAATTTGATGTGCGGGCGAGTTTATGGACTCCAGAGGATTAACCTGAAAGCCCTTCATGCAGCAAACTGGGGTTCGACTCCTCAAACAGACTCACCACGCTACACTGAAAACAGTCCTTTGGCAAGACTCCTAACTCCACATTCGGCAACATGATTACATGTTGAGTCGCTCTGGATAAAAGCGTCTGCACAAACAGTAGCGTATATATATACACAATAAAACAATACACCAAGCTTTTTCTGTACTTTTCCATTCGAAAGTGGCCAGAAAATTATATTTCTCTTAAAAAAATGTGCTTTATTGAATATTATTATTAACGTCACTTCAGTAATGGGATTGCTCTCTGCTTCCACTGGCCGAATTCCAGCAGGCGTTTATTACCCCTGCCCTATTTTTTCCAGCGCATGCTGTGGCAAGGACACATTGCTCTCGTACTCCTTTTCTCTTTTTCTCTCCAATCCGTCTGTCTGGCTCATGCTGGCTGGATCCCTGTGAAAACCACAGAGGAATTCACCCCAACTTGTAAATTATGGGTGACAGAAAAAACTTCAAAAAAAAAATCTCCCATTACCAGTCGCTGAAATCCTCTCAAAAAGCTGAATTTTCTCAACAGTCTGGCCAAATTTACACAGTTCCCCCTCATCTGAAACGCAGCCAATCACGTTTGGCGTCCTAAGCTGGTCACTGGAGCTGCGAGGCTAATGTTAACCCACGCTAACTGCATTCCTAAACCACACAATCCGTGTGGAACTGTTCTGTGATCAATTATAGACACGATCGTGTGATTTCCGACACCGTTATCCATAAACACGAACTAAATTACATCATATACACACTTAAAAAGATGGTTCTGCAGGGGATATTTACTAAAGGTAATGGTTCTATATAGAACCCTGAACACTCAGTGAACCATTTGACCACTTAATGATTCTCTGCAGGTTGAAATGGTTCTTCAGACTGATGAAGAATGTGTTGCATATGGTTCTACATAGCATCAAAAAGGGTTCTTCTATTGTATCAAGCTTGACAGCGTCTCATAGGCAGAACCTATTCTGGTGCTATATAGAACCATATACAGCACATTCTCCATCAATCTAAAGAACACTTTGACCATGCAAAGAACCATTTAATCATGAAATGGTTTCCACATAAAACTCATGGTTCTAAACAGAACCATTTGCTCTAATAAAGAACCCAACATCTTTTTTTGAGTGTAGGAATAGAAGTTTTAGTGCTACATAGAACCCTACACAACAAATTCTCCACGATGAGGTCTAAATAGAACCTTTTGTATGCTAAAATGGTTCTTTGCATGGTGGAAAGGTTCTTCAGATTGATGGAGAATGTGTTGTATATTGGTTCTTTATAGCACCAAAAAGGGTTCTTCTGTTAATACAAGTTTGACAATGTAACAAGAGCAGAACCCTTGTTAATGCTATACAGATCCATATAAAGCTCACTGACTTACTAGGTTCAGAGGCTGATCTCCCACAAAACTACACTTCCCAGAGTGCAACTGTGGACCACATGACTGAAACATGATTCTTCTACTGTTACATTGTTAAGCTTGTCATAATGGAAGAACCATCTTTGTTGCCTTTTCAAAAAGGTTCTATACAAACACATCTACAGCACGCTGTCCATCGATTTGAAGAACCATTTCGCAACGCATAGATCACTTTGATCATGCAAAGGGCTCTTTTAGTGTTCACGGTTCTATATACAACCATTTTCTTTACTAAAGAACCTTTGAAGAACCATCTTTTTAAATTGTAAACACTACACGACAGATTACATTATTATTTTTACATATTTAGAAATATTTTAGAAATGTTGCAGCCACCACTTTTAAACAAGAAGCAGACGATTTGCCATTTCTCCAGGGGAATTTTCTGAATTGCATGTCCAGTTGCACAGAAATTATGTTGCATGCAACTAACAACGTGCAGCTCGCTGCATGAAAGTTCCACCGTGTAAAGCCAGTTTGAGAACTCCAAAGAGAAAGAAGTGACCCGACTGGTGATGCAAGAAAAGCCTCTTATGCATTACTGTCCTCCACAGTGAACGTCTGAAGTGTGTTTGTGTAGGTGTTTGTTTTCCTTCATGGCACAGAGACAAATATGTCTGTGCAGCGTGACCTCCTGACCTCCTGACATGCCTGCAATTATACACAGTCTGTTCTTAGCCTCATGATGACGTGCTGGATGTTTGATGTGGCCCTTTTGTGAAGACATCTCTGTGGATGACCTCATCTCTTTACCCTCCACCAGTCTGCCGGACCGCGCGCGTGTAACCCGAAGCCTGTAATTAGGGTCCCGAAGCTCGGCCCTCCGGGTTTAACGTCAGGGAAGCTGATGGCGGCGCATAACTGAGAGCCTGTGTAGCTGAGCGCAGATGAGAAAAGCAGACCGGGGCGAGATAATGACCTGCTGCAGAGCTGAGACACTGCGAGCATGAACGCTTAACCCTTCAGGAGCCGAGCTTTCACTGTACCACTCCAATGTACTACATACTTATTACATACTTATACCATAGCAACTGCATAGCAACACCTTAGCAACCATCTGGAAAACCAAAGCAACCACCTAGCAACACCTTAGCAACCACCTGGGATACCATGGCAATCACCTAGCAACACCTTATCAACCACCTGGGATACTGTAGCAACCGCCTAGCAACACCTTAGCAACCCGTCTGGAAAACCAAAGCAACCACCTAGCAACACCTTAGCAACCACCTGGGATACCGTAGCAACCACCTAGCAACAGCTTAGCAACCACCTATGACACCATAGCAACCACCTAGCAACACCTTAGCAACCATCTGGAAAACCAAAGCAACCATCTAGCAACACCTTAGCAACCACCTGGGATAATATAGCAACCACCTAGCAACACCTTAGCAACCACCTGGGATAACACAGCAGCCACCTAAAAACACCTTAGCAACCACCTGGGATACCACAGCAGCCACCTAAAAACACCTTAGCAACCACCTGGGACACCACAGTAAGCCTTCAGCAAAAAATGTTATGCAACGAGTTACAGTAACATTTCATTTTCTCTCTAAATCAACATCTTCGGGTTTCCTTTCATCAGTTTTGATGTCAATAAGTGACAAAAACATAATGAAACAGTAAAGGACGTTTTTTTCTGTGCACGCTATCAAAACTTCTCATCAAACTCAAATCATAAAATATCTTTAAATGTGCTGTGGGCTGGATGTTTGTTCCAGTGAAGTACGAGTCAGAAATTATTCATACAGCATTGCACGGATGGTGTAAATAACTGTGTAATTACATTTAAATAGCAAAAACAACAGTACTAGTTGTAGACTTCTAAGGCTTTACACGGTGAAACTTCCATGCAACTAGTAAGCAACAATGTATCCATATAACCTAAAAGTTACATGACACAACTCAAAAACAGTAAGACACCTGATTCCTCCACTAGTTAGCCAAATCAGCAGCTCTCATTTTTATTAACCCCTTATAATCCCAGTCTTATTACACACTATGGCTTATTATTCAGTAATTACAGGGACTTCAGTGCAAACTGGCTGATTCTTAGATTGTAGAAGTGATTGGGGGGGCCTGGCCACGTCATCTGCGACATGTTATTTATGTTTACATATTTGCAGCATTTTTATTTTTTTGCATCACTTTTCCAGCTATCATTGCCACTCTTTTTTCTATATCTGTGTATCTATCTTTTATCTCTGTATCTCTGAGTGTTTACTATCTATTTAAGTTTGTAATGTGTTCTGTGTATAT